GTTAATAAAACATGAATAATCAATATTATAAGTTCACACTGCGGTCACAACAAAAAGTGGAAAGAATTGTTACTTTACCCATAACTGGGACCCATTAAAACAGTTACTATCACTCCGGGTCAGAGTGATCCAGGGAAACATTTAGAAGAGGATTGGGCTCAAAGTAGGACCATTTACCTTTATACCCCGAAACTAAGGACTTACATTCATACCAAAAACCGAACTGACGTTTCTTAGGACAGTAACTAATGGATGCAGTTTTACGTCCTAATAAGGACCTTACAGGGACTTAACGGATGCAGTTTCACGTCCAGCCCAGGACCTTAATGGATGCAGTTTTACGTCTTGCCCAGGACCTTAATGGATGCAGTTTTACGTCTTGCCCAGGACCTTAATGGATGCAGTTTTACGTCTTGCCCAGGACCAATGAGGACCTTATTGGTCAGTACCAAATATGGCAGAAGTGAAAGTCTGTAATTTGATTTTTGTAATTGGTTTTGTAAATAAATCTGCCATATTTTTTTCCGATTGAACATATTCAGTTTGTACTGTTTTCTTTTGTACTTGGTCCCTAACGAATTGATACTTTATATCAATATGCTTTGATCTTTGATGTATTATTGGATTTCTGGCCAAAGCAATACTGGCCTGGTTATCGCAGTAAATAGTTATTGGCTCAGTTATTACCAGTGTTTTAACGGTTTCTATTAGTAATTTAAGAAAAATGGCCTCTTGTGTTGCTTTTGATAATGCAATATATTCCGCTTCACAGGTAGAAAGTGAAATCATCCCCTGTTTTTCCGATTTCCAGCTGATCATTGGGTTACCATCAGCTAGCTTAAAGCAGTAGCCTGTTATACTTTTACGATCTGGTGAGTTGGCCCAATCAGCATCACAAAATCCTTCCAATTTCAATGGTTTATCTGCTTGTCGAAATACTAGGCACCGACTCTTAGTTCCCTTTAGATAACGTAACACTTGTTTAGCTCTCGTTAATTGCACAGTTCCCGGTTTATTTAAATGTTGGGATAATTTCGTAACCGTATAGCAGATATCTGGCCTGGTTGCCGTCATCAAGTAAATAAGACTTCCAACCAATGTTCTATATTCATTTTCACACACCGCTATACCATCTTCTTTATTCATAATTGTGTTTAAATCCATTTCACATGGAGTAGCTCTCGTTTTGCAATTTTGCATGTTAAATTTAGATAAGAGTCTCTCAATGTATCTAGATTGATTCATTGTAATAGTGTTACCTTTAAATTCGAACTGTATACCAAGAAACCATGATAGTCGACCCAAATCGGTCATCTTAAACCTTATTTCCAGGGAATTTTTGATTTTTAATAGAGCGGTCTCACACTTTGATGCAATTAACATATCGTCGACCCAAATAACCAGAATTACTAATATTTCATTACTAAATGTTCTTGTGTAGAGACATTGGTCAACGCGAGAGGATTGGAATTGCTGTTCTATTAAATAAGAATGGATTAGTTTATTCCATGTTCTGCCGCTCTGTTTCAGTCCATATAGTGACTTTTTGGTTTCCATACATAATTATCGCCTTCTTTAAAACCTTCTGGCGGTTCTATATATATCTCATAATCGATGGCAGCATTCAAATAAGCTGCTTTCACATCCATATGGTGTATATCCATACCATAATGTGCGGCCATTTGAATCAAAATTCTAATTGTTGTCATGTTTGTTGTTGGACTGAATGTTTCTACATAATCTTCCCCGTATATCTGCGAAAAACCTTTAGCTACAAAACGAGCCTTGTATAGTGGCGCTCCATCCTCAGTACGCTTTACATTATAAACCCAACGGCTGCCAATAATATTTTTATCATCCGGGGGCCTTTTTAATTCAAACGTGTCGTTTAATACGAATGATTGAATTTCTTTTCGCATGGCAGCCATCCACCGTCTAGCATTGATAGAATGTATGGCCTCTTGGTAATTCTTTGGGATACACTGCACCGAATAAAAACAATCAATGTCGCAGGTATTACATTGGTCCATTCCAAAATAATCTGGCTTTCTTCTATCTCTTGTCGGGTAACGCGGAATTTTCCCCCCCTCGTCAGTTGTATTTTCTTTTAACTCAAGTTTTGCATCCGATTTTTCCTCGTCTACAACATCTGGTGTAATACCTTCCTCTGATTGTGGATTCTGGACGGGTTTTCCACTCATAGACCCATAATTGGGCCATACTAGCTTGGGTTGCACTAGTTCGTCGCAGTTAACATTCTTTTCTTCATGTTCCACCCGTCGCTCAAAGGAATATGTAAATCTGACGCATCTAATCTTCCTTTTTGTTCTAGTTTTTGGAAAATAAATCATATAGGCTGGACTTGTCTTGTCATACCCAATGAATATGCCCCTTTCACTTTTTGGATCTAGTTTCGCCCTGTGGTCGACATATGAATAGCAAATTGTACCAAAAATATGCATATCACTCACATTGGGCTTGAAGTTTGTATAAGCTTCGTAAGGATTTTTTTTAATGTTACTATTATAGCAGCGGTTTCTTATATATACCGCCGTGTTTAATGCATAAACCCATAGATTTTTGGGCAAGTTGGATTCTATTAACAAACATCTAGCCATTTCAAACAGTGTCCTCCAACTGCGCTCAGCAACTCCGTTTTGATGTGGCGAATAAGAACAAGTTTTCTCATGTTTAATGCCTTCATTTATCAGGAGGTTTTTGTAAGCATCAGAAGTAAATTCGCCACCATTATCGGTCCGAATTATTTTTACCTTTCCATACGGGGAGATATCTGATAAATAGATTTTTGTAGCTCGCAGTGTGTCAGACTTATTTTTCAGGAAATATACCATAATAAGTCCTGAATATTCGTCTACAAAGTTTAATACATATGAGTAGGTGTCAATACCCTTTGGGGTAATTGGACTCGCTAAATCGCAATAAACTCTGAACAAAATATCTGTTGCTTTTGGGATCCGACCCCTCTCTCTATATTTCGTCATTTTACCTTTAATACACGTATCACAATATTGCAAGCCCTTTGGAAGTGTAATTTTCATTCCAGTGACGTGTTCTTGTAATTTTTTAACATCCGAATCATTACAGTGGCCCAATATTTTGTGCCAAGTTCTTAAGTCATGCGTGGCTGTCCTCGCTGACTTAATACAAACGTCCATTTTGCTGTATATTAAATTCATTTCCGTCTGGATATGTTAACTTTGAATTGTCGCGATGAAAACTGATTTTAACACCAGTTTCAATTGCAGACTGAACTGAGAAAATATTTTGCTTAAATTTTGGAATATATAAAAGCCCTCTTAATAAACATTTACAAACATCTCCCTTAGTATTGCGTAGATAAATACAGGCATCGCCTCTTTTCAAAACAAATTATTAGCTCTGGTCCCATCAGCTAACTCGATAAAATGCGAGTCGGGCTGAAAATTGGGGTAAAAACCAATAAATTTTGTTTTATCTGTAATTACATGATTTGTCGCTCCCGTATCGATCAAGTAAGAGTCACAACTGCTGGCCACAGCACCCAATCCAAACGAAAAGGCATATGTACATCCCTTCGAAGAAGCTTGTACATTCTTACAATAGTCATTCCGTGTATAAAATTGACATTTCGCACGAGTATGGCCAACATTACCACAACGAAAACAAACGATATCCTTACTATATCCGCCTTTATAATTCCTGTAATAATTGCCTCTAAAGCCCCTGTTCCTACTCTCATAGTTCCTAGTCTGATTGCTTTGAGGAACTGGTTTTCTGAGTTTTTTAAATGACGTTCTTAATTGCATGACATTATTGCCGTGATTTTGGTGGGAACACATTTTTTCAGTTTCTTCATAGCTACGTAACGCCATTTTAAACTCAGTGAAAGTTAGTTGTTTATCTTTTTGGGTTATAACTGTCGTAAATGGTTTGAATGACGGTGGAAAACCCTTCAAGACCATGGCTATTAGCAGCCCATCCGAGATAATTTCACCTGCAATTTTTAAAGCATTCATAACGTTCTCCGCTCGAATAATGTAATCGGTTATAAATTCGTTTTCTCGTCTTTTCAATGCGGTTAATTCCGTATATAAGGAAATAATTTTAGGCTTACCTTTTGACAAATAGTGTTCACGCAAAATCTGTAGAGCTCTTCGGCCATTATCCTTGGCCTCTCTCATTATTAAAGACAAACTCCGGTCGTCCAGGAATTGAATTAACTCAGCAAAAACGGTCGCATTTTTTTCCATGAAATCATCCCCCTCCTGGTCGAGTTTACAAAGGATGATATCATGGAGCTTTTGTATTCTGAGGTAGCCCAAAAACTTCGTCTCCCATAATTCATATCTCGATTCATTTCCGTCAAAATATAATCGTGATCTGGGCTCATAACCTATCTTAGACATTTCTATGACGGTCGTCCTCGAGTATCGCATCCAGAGGTTGGCAGTGAATATTTCGGAGACAGTAGGAAAACGTAGTGGAGGTTCGCAGTAGATATCACAGCAGAGTGTAGTTCATCCTTCGCCTTTGGTCCTTCCGGTAGGAGGAAACAAGATGGCCGCCTTTATACACTATGAATACAGTGTTGGGCGGCTTCTGATTGGTCAACCTTCTATTGGTCGACTATAAAGGGAAATAAGTCATTCTAACTCGCTCACTAGTTATATGCGCTATATACCCAAAAAACCGTAACAGGAAAGTGGAGTAGAAATGTCATCGGCTGCAGTGGTATTGGTGGTGGAGTGTTTGATGAGGAGATCTATTGCTAATGGGGGACAGTGGTGCTTGCAGAGGGAAAGTAGGAAGGCTTCTTGTGTTATCTTCTTTAGGCTACTTGACTGGCGAAGCTGGGGCTGATTGAGCCTTTGTTGGCTTCAGCTCGCTTGTCTTTTTTCTTTATTTACCCCCTTTTCTTTTTCTTTTTCTGTTTCCTCTCTTCCTCTTTTCAGTGAAGACGACCGAGTTGAGGGAATCTCCTGCATTTCTACTTCCCTTACTTGCTGGTCCTCCGACTCTCGTTGGGGACACTCATTCCGCTGCTGAAGGAAAGTCGTGGTACATTTGGGTCCCCTTCTTGACGACTTCCGGCCACTCTCCAGTTTTCTTGGTTGTCTGTGCTGTTGCCTGTGATGTTTTCTGCTTCATATTTCTTTTTGGGTTGCAGGGAAGGATTTTGTCCCGGGCAAACCTTCGACAAATACCCCGCAGCCCCACGAGCCCCAAAAAGTGGTCGATGACCCTCTACAAGCGATATAGATAAGCCTACCTTCACACATTAACGTGTTGGGTATTTCCGCAAACTTTCGATTTAATCTAATTGAGATTTCAATATTACCTGTGGCAATTCCGGCCTAACTTTTAATAGGGCAGATGTCGGAGACGTCCCCATACTTAGAAATGAAAAAAAAAACAATATGGACTTCAGATATGTAGAGTGGTACCCTGTAGAGTCACCTTTGCTTTTCTCGTCCCCCATATATTCCGTTTGAAGCCTGACTGTCGAAGTAGTTAGAATACAGCCTGCCAACGATTTGGCTTTCTCTTCTGTTGGCAATAAGATGTCTCACATTGACCTACTATTTCTTGCTAGAATTTAGGCTGCAATTTGAAGAATTTTCAGGGACTTCCCTTGTCACGATATTTAGCTTCCGGGTTTTGGGGTCCGTTGTTAGTAACGAGATTGTCCTTGTATTCACCGTGTCCAGTACGTTCGGCACCGGTAATAACTCATTTCCATTAACATATGGATCAAACTTCTCTTTTAAATTTTTGAAATATTCTGGCCCTTTTTGTGGGGGCCTATCCCTTGCCCATGTCGAAGGAGTTACTTCTGTAGGGGAAGCAGAAAGAGATTCGGGCTCGTCACCCCAACACAATACACTCAATTGAGACTAATAAGACGACAAAGAAAGACAACAATGGATACACAAGATGATGGTGGGAGGCAAACAAAAGTAACACTTAATCCGAAGAATATCCAACGAAAATATCTTTGACGGCTCGCGGTAAACTCGGTAACAGAAAAAATCTCGAAAGATAGATAGATAGATACCAATATAGATAGATAGATAGATAGATAGATAGATATGAAGAGACTGAGATAGTTACATCGACAAACATTTTGCTGATGTAAAATATAAATGATATTCTATCACTTACGACTTGTCTTCTTCCTTTTCGTCTGTCGAAATATTTTCCGACTTGGTTACAGTCGATGCCGTACGTTCATGAGTAAGACGCCAATCAGTCACTGGTTCTTGCAAATTCCCGATAGCCATCACCGCAATATTGCCTACTTCTTCATTTCTCTCCGGTTGTCCATTGGGAATCATGTTCCTCCGAAGAAGGCCGCAGTCACCGGACACATTTTTTTCGATGCTATCTTCAACAAATCCAAGATTCACGGATCCACCCCCAACAGAAATTATCCGGGAAGATCTTCTATTCTCTTGTCCCAAATCAAAAGAACCTGATTTCATAGAGCCTACATCGAACGGTCCCTTATCCGTGGTTATGCTGTTAACAATCGAAACTTTCCTGCTACTCATAACTGAAGATTTCCTCGATGCACTCTCAAGAAAGTTTGCTGCTGTCATGATTATGTCGTCGTTGATGTCTATACTTTTATGCAATACTGTTTACTCTTTTTCACAAAGAAAACACATTATCTTTCCTTAATTATTATGCGAACTAAATGTATATTTAGCCTGATTATGATGTGCCAACGTGACACGAAATTTCTTAATTCGAATTAGAGACGTGAAGTTCTAAATGTTGGTTAAGCGTATGTGGAGAATAAATTATAAAAAATTTCTAATGTCAAGGAATACTCGTTGTCACTTTCGTAGTGCTCGTTGTAGAAGAGACTTTGTAATCGCAAATACAACTATAGTAACGCCGTTGAACAATACTAGTGCCAGACGCCTTCGAATAGCACTCGTAGTAATAGTACTTGCTCGATAATACTCGATCGAATAGTATTACGTATAGTAACTCGAAAGGAGAAATATTATAGAGAATAGAGTAGATAAGAGCGGTCCGTATAGTAATAGAGGATAGGCTAGAAATAGAGATCCGAATAGTAATAGAAGATAGAGAAGAAATAGCGATCGTTAGTCATCAGCTACTTCCTACATATATGCATTTTCTCAATGGTCTCGTGGTCCACTTAATTCAATAGTGGGATCGCTTGTGCTTACTCTGGCGATCTATGTTCAAACTCTAGTGCTGGCAGAAATTTAAATAAAGCGCGATTTGTCTTTTTAAAATAATAAAATATGAGAGAAAATTCATTTTCAATTATCATATTTTTCCTAAAAGTTTTTTTTTTTATTTATTATTGTGAATATTTTATCTGTAATCATTGATACCTTTGTGCAAATTAATTGAAACAAGCGCTTTAATTGCCTTTATTTCACCATACGGTCAGTTTTAGACCCATCTGAGTGAGAGGGTGCAATCGATTTCTATTTTTTCCTCGGATTTGTTCATTTGCAGAGGTGTGCAGAATCTGTTTTCGGGATGTATGATGAAATTTATTTGGCCTTGAAAAGTATTGCGCCATCCGTCATTGCATCAGATTTTTATCACCTCCAGACAATATTGTCTCAACTGTCTATTAGTTGTCCTACGAAAATAGTAACGCTGCACGAACACACTGGTAAGCCTTACAGAATGATCGCAGACTGTACGATGAAAAAGAAGCTCGTGACGGCCATTATAGTCCTGTGGTACTGTGAGCCCCAAATCAATGTGGACTGCTTCAAATTAGTATTAAATTTGGACTGCTTCAATTTAGTATTAAATCGCATTAAAGCTTCTAAATAATAAAGGCGGACATACAAAGTACTAACATGTTCACTGGGTCATGTTTTATTAAGTACGAAAAAAATAAATTATAACGAATTTATTCGTTTTGTTTCAATTAATTTGCACAAGGATGTATGTAAGTATCTTTGTCTATGTCGACACGAGATCACAGCAAAGAGTCCGTAGTCTTACGCGTTCATTACTCTAGAATTTGGTTATGTTAAAATTTAAAAATATAATTCGTTTTTCATCGAGACGCTAGAAATTATCTATTTACCAAAAAAATCGATAAATTGCATTAAGCCGAAATTATACTCTTTGTTAATTCTTGGTGCCCACTGCTAGCAGAGCGGCCATGTTTACATTATAACAGCAGCAAGAAAACAAGCTGAATCTTTGATCATGTAACTAAAGTACAACTATAAGCACACATCAGCAGAAGGCAGTGTGACAAACCTGAAGATATGTTATAGCTAAAGTGCGATTAATTTTGTCTTACCGGATACATATACCGGAATGAACAAACAGTGAAATATTTGTTAAAATCGTACACGTTAAAAAGTGCTTAATTTCAAGTAGGAAAACCAAACTTGCAGCAGGAACCTCAACATTCTGATCTAGATGTTGACAGTTTCTTTCCGTAATTATCGTTAGAACAACCGCAGTTAACATAGAGAAACGAAGCCATATTGCTTTCACAGGATACTCGTAATTGAGTTGACGCCCCGTTTATATTTTTAAAGAGTATATTTATTTATTTTCGTTTACCGTCCTGAATACTTGAGAAATATTAATAATAATATATTTTTCCTTTACTGGTAGCACAACACAGAGGTTTATGGACGATATATATATATATATATATATATATATGAAGAAAATTTGGAAAAAACAAACAAAAATCCTTAAATGCAATTATGTTGTTTAAAATGAATGAAATGTCGACGTCTGACGTTTCGGTTTAATAAACCTTTTTCAAGACAATATTCATTAAAATACAATTCAGTTCAATTTGACAAAAGCGATGGACATATAAACGTCAGACGTCGACATTTCATTCATTTTAAACAACATAATTGCATTTAAGGATTTTTTTTTTTTTTTCCAAATTTTCTTCATTCTGTCGGATTTATATCCATTTACATTTGCTTATATATATATATATATATATATATATATATATATATATATATATATATATATATATATATATTCCCAAGAGGATAGAATCCAGGTAGAACTCAATGTCCATAACAGAGTAAGTATATAATATAAAAGGGTCAAACACAAATATACAATTTTTTTTTTTTTTTTTGAATTTGCAGGTCTGATGTTTTTGAATCGCTCTTACGATTCCAATGTAATAAATTTTAACCATGGAACATTAGTGTTTGAGACTTTTATATATATATATATATATATATATATATATATATATATATATATATATTATTATTATTATTATTATTATTATTATTATTTAAACGTTATTTTTAGTGTATACTTGTATCTGAGTAGATGCTCTATTTATTTATTAAACATTATATTCATTTATTTCCGTCTACTGGCCTCAATACTTGAGAAATCTCATTAGAGAAAAATTTGTGATCCCCAGCAGAATAACGTTTCAGTAATAAAAACCTATCCGAATAATGAATAAAAATTCATTCTCTTTCTTCATATATATATATATATATGAGAGAGAGAGACAGACAGACAGACAGACAGACAGAGAAATATATATATATTTTTTTTTTTTCTTATTTTTTTTTTGAATTTGTAGGTCTGATGATTTGGATCGTATTTACGATTCCAATGGAATAAATTATGACCATGGAATATTAGTGTTTAAGCCTTTTTATTATATCCTTACTCTGTCCTAGACATTGAGTTCTACCTGGATTCTTCCTCTTGGAATTTTTTTTTCCAAAAATATACATATATGGGTATTTATATTTATATATTTTGCATATTTATGTATATTTTCCACTAATATTATATATATATATATATATATATATATATATATATATATAGGTAAAGACTAAAGGAAAACTTATCTTTACGCGCTGCATTCTCAGTTGTAATTTATCAAGGTAAATGTTTTTATAAACAGAAGTAGAAATATAGTTAGATTTTCATTTTTTTATTATTTAAGAACGCACAAAAATATTGTTACGACTAATAGGGAAAGTCAAGGTAAACTATGAAAGATGCAATATGATGCAATTTAATGTAATTTCATTTTGGAAACCAAACAATATTTTTTATAGATACATATGCAAAAGAAAATCTTTACATTGTTAAAATCTTAACTTGATAAAGTCCATCAAAAGACAAAAGACATTGGTGAAGAAATGTTTTCCTGCTGTTTTTATTTATATTCTCTTTTTACAGATATATTTTATCTACATGGTGCCCATTAAAAAGAGAATAATTTATTATCATTGTTTTATCTTTCTGAAATAATTAACCTTGGATAAACTTGAATAAATTTCTTGACTATCCATGACATTGAAGAATCGTTTGACTCTTACGTAATTACTTAATTCTGATTAGTTCTTTTATGATTGAATAATTGCTGCTCGATCATTTGACACGACTTTCGTTCTCATCTTCTCGTATGTTTAAACAACTCATTGATGTTGGGCGTCAAATTATCGTACTTTTCAAAGTAGAACCTACGATGTATGGATTGACGAAAAATGCGGAATTTTTTTCTGAATTTTTCAGTCACGTCACCAGTTTTCAACTGTTGTCTCACGTCTTTATGAATTTATTTCATTTTTTACTGGGTACCCTGTATAACACACACACACATACACACACACACATATATATATATATATGTGTGTGATTAAGTCATATTATTTATATTTTTATTTTTAAATATTTAAAATAATATATTTATTATATTTACTAATAAACTATATATGGTATTGTAAAATTAAAATATTAGAATTTAATTACGCATTTATAAACTATTTTATGATCAATTAATAGATATATAATTATGCAAATTATTTTTATAATTATTTTTCAAGAAAATATGAGACAATATCTACAAGAAACTACTATTTCATTTCTTTGATTTAATAAGTTTTTATCTTTCAGAAACTTAATAGTATATATTGTTTCATGTAGTCACAAAGGACATGGGTCATTTAAAGGTCTACATGTTCTCGCTATTTTTATTAATTTCCATTATACTCTTGGTGTTTTATTTGTTTTTTTTAAATGCCAAAAATATTTGGATAAGGATGTTTGTTTGCGATGCTTAATAGCATTAAAGGAAGTCAGATGTTGGCTCAATCTTAATTTAAATTCATTTGTAGTAGATCAAATATAAAATTTCCCACTATTAGTATTCTCAATAGATTAGATAGTGCATTGGTAAACTAAAGATTCTGTGAGGCATTTATTATTCAAAGGACAATTTTCAGGATTCCTACAGTTACATCATTTTTCTTTACTATTGTTTATTATTTCCGGATCATTATTTCCCAGAATTCTATTATTATGT